AATTAGAAAAATCTTTTATCATGATCATGAAGTAATACAAAAATTTATTTACCAGGCGCAAAATATGATTACAAAAATGTGATATTGTATTTCTCCCATGCTTCGCACATCAAGCAAACCTATATGTTGGTTATATCTTTAAAATTTCATCTGAATATAAGAAAACATTAAAGAATACCATTGGAGTTGCGTTATATTTTACTGATAAACGACATTTAAAGGCAATATCATTACTTCGTGATGAGCAGCAGAGGATTTACAAAACCCATATTGCTTTGTGCTTTCTACAACCACTTGTTGGAATTCCTATTATTGTTTTGCAACGCTTCTAAGAAGCCAACGTGCTCTACAGTTATATTTGATCCTATATCTAACAGACAAATCTTCCACTGTTATTAAAACCCCTCAATTTTGGACATACCTTGATGAATTAGTGAAACACCTTCTGCCTTTTGTTAGCATACTTGACTATCTTCAACGTGATGTGGCCAATCTTTTTGATGTTGCCTATGCATTTGGATATGTAGCACAACAATATGAAAATGATATTCATGAATTTGGTTATGAAATGCAAAAAAAGATAGGCAGATTGGGAGCAACTCCTTCTTTTGTTGGCAATTATATTTTATCCACAATATCATGTTCAAGCTTTGTCCGATACAAATTTTTTTTCTTTTGGCCGAATAACAAGCTAGATCGAATATTATTATAAAATGTGGTTTGATATAAAACCAAAGCATATTGCACTGGAACTAACTAAATACTATATGAAATGTAGTATATTTAGTGATAAGAGATTTGAAAATACCATTGATGCCATCTTAGCAGAAAATGTAACAAAAAATGTAATTGGGCTCGCATTATTGTGATATTGGGAATTTGTAGCAATTGATTAAAAAGAGATTGGTAAAGTCGCACAGAGGTTGTATGGTATTAAAGTTAATTCTGTACCATGTGAGTGCCTGTTTTCTCGAATGAGATAGTTCCAAAATCCAAGACGCAATCGTTTTAAAGTAAGAGCAATGTTATTTGAGTTTGGAACAGGTTTATTTTTAATATAAGAAATAAAACCGGTTCCAAACTCTGCATATATTTGAATTTTATAAATTTATTTTAATAAAAACTTATCTTGTAGGTACAAACAATCTTTAGGATGACTCAAATCGCAGCTGAGATGGAATGGGAAGAACATATAGATAATGCTAAAAAAATTCACAAAACTGTTACCGTGAATCGTATTACTAATTCAAATAATAGTAAAACAGTAACAACACACTGTGAAACACAATTAGAATCAAGCTTTGAACAAAGAAATGAAAGAGACAACCCTATTGCACTTGACCTTACCGAAAATATGCATATTCCGATACTTGATGGTAAGATGCCTAACAAAAATGATTATAATGCTAATGATTATGATAGTGATGATTATTCCAATGATGAAAATGAAGAAATAACAAATGACGAATCAATTATCAGAGAATTGACTAAAGATAATAACAATGAAGATGAGGATCTTGAAGAATTAACTACAACTTCTTATGATATGCAAAATTGTCATTCAGCTGAACACGAAGGTTTAAAGATTGAACTTCAATACCTTTTTATATATGCTTTATCACAACCTTCATTTGTTCGTACTCTTCAGCAAGATATTGAGAATAATTTTGTATTTTCTAACAATTAG